ATGTCATACATACCTAAAAGAACAAGGCTTCAGATAAAAGAATAAAGAGAACACATAAATTTTTAAAAAAAAAAGCCTTGTCCGGAGCCCCTGGTGGACGTGAAAGAAGTGCCAGCCTGGTCTAGTAGCTTTGTCCCATGTAATTCCCAGCTGCTGCTTAAGTAGTGAAACATCCTGTACCTTGAATGGCTTAGTGACCTAACTCATGGGGACTACTAGGGATGGATCGGATGGTTCCTAACCTTGGACAGCATTTGACTGTTCCAGTTAACTCCGTGCCCAATCCTGTACCTCACTGTAATTACCAGAGTGCAGGTGCACTTGCCAGAGAGATGAGAGAGGGCGAATGCACCTCCCAGTGGGCAAGATGACACTGCTTTCCTTCTCTCTCCATCCTGTCGGGATCTGGGGAATGCACGCACTCGTGCCCAGCTTGTTTTTAAATCTGCTGAGGCTGGGGCCCAAACTACATTCAGCCATGTGGGATCTGACTCCCTTTACTGGCCACAGGGCCAGTCCAGACTTGGGCTGTCCTTTAACAGTTGAACATCCTTCTGACCTGAGATAGGCTTTTATTCTAGGGGAACCAACTATAGAGAGATCCCCACCATCCATGTCCTGTCTTAAAACTTCCTGCATTTGGTAAATTCACAGTAGATGAAATTATGACTTCTTAGATGCCCACTGCCAATTGTGGACAAGTAGACCAATAAAGATCTTTTTGCTATTCTGCTCAATAGCCTTAATTTCAAAGGTAACTACGGAAGGGCTAGAAGTCTGGAATAAGGAGATTGTAATAGATGGGATTGGGGGGGTTAATTTAGAATCCAGGGACTGCTTGTGGTGGGGTAGGGACAGGGAGAGCTCTGTTTCAAAGACCCTAGTTGAACTCTTAAATCAGAAGAACTTCAAGAAAGCTCTGAAGAAACTTGAAAATTGCTAATTTCCCAGAAAAAGCCAATTCAAGTAGATAACATAATTCACTAATTTTAAGGTTTTGTTTTTGTTTTTATTTTCCAGAGTGTGCTTGTACTAGCCAGAGGGAAAAGTAAAAAGCATTCCCCCAATGGGGCAGTTACACCACTTTCTCCATCCTGTCAGAATTTTGGGCACACACGCACTTGTATCTGGCATGTTTTTCAAGCTGCTGGGGCCAGAATTCAAACTGTGCTATTGGCCATGTGGGATCCACCTCTTTTTTTTTTTTTTTGGGGGGGTTTTTGTTTTGGGGGCGTGGTTGGAGAGGTTTTTGCTATAGGGCGCGTGCGCTCGCCAGACAGACAGAGAGAGACAGAGAGATAGAAAGCGAGAAGTCACCCCCCAGGGGGGATGGCCACGCCGCAATCCCTTCTCCATTCTCCTCTCGGGATCTTGGGCACGCACACACATGGACCCGGCGTGAGTTTAAGCCGCCAGGTCCGGGACTCGAACCGCGGTCGACTACATGGGAGTCCAGTGACATAGCCGTTACACTAACTGCTGGTCTCGGATCCACCTCTCTTAACCATTAACCCACAGAGAAGACCTGGTAGTTTTAGATCTTAAAATTCTTTCGAGGGCTGGCGAGTGGCATGGTGGTTAAAGATGTTGTACTCCCACATAGCTGACTGCAGTCGAGTCCTGGACCTAGCGGATTGCTTGCTTTCTCTCTCTTTTGCCCTCTCCGGTCAAATTACAATAAATAAAGTTAAACAAAATCTTTTTTAAAATCTTTTGATAGGCAGGCCTGGCAAGTAGGACTTCAGCATGCCCTTGTCATCTTCATCTCTTCTGTCCTGTTTTCTTAGAAATTGATGCAGAAACCGATTCCTCCTTCCCTGGAACACAGTGTAAGGAGCCACCTTCTCTCATGGCCTTCCTAGCGATTCAAAAGGTGAAAGCGTAGCCATGGGACTTCTTATAGGAGGGAAACACTTTCAGGTTGGGAGATATGGGAAGACCCTCATCATATGCACTGAGTATAGGATGAGGAGCAGCCGCAGCAGGGGAGAAGTCAGGAGCAAGTTGGGGTTTACAGTTGTGTGAGCGTGTAAAGCAGGTTAGACTGACCGTCTTGTCCTTTGACATCCCAGAAAACAGCATTGAGGGCTGGCAGTGAGGGGACTGCTATGGTATTTGGAGTTGAATTCAGGGTTGCAAGCTCAAATCACCCTCTGGCCTCCTAGGAATGTGTTGGTGCAATCTGGGAGGATTTGTTTCCTTTTTAATGTCTTTTTTTTTTTTTTAAGAGACTGATCTGATTTTTAAACAAAGTTGCCACCAGCACCCCCTTTGAACACAAAGGGTGCATTGTTCATGTACCCAGCTTACTCTAAATGAGAAACCAAATCAGATGCAGCAATCCACTCTTGCATAAGCCCTAGTTAGAATGTAGTTTGAAACAACTAGGCCAGTAGCCAGAATGGAGCTCTTTAAAATGGGACAGTTGTCCAGAGAATGGCTGGTGTCCTCTAGCACCCTCCTAGGAAGAAGCAAGTCTGGGATTATACCTTCCAGTGGCCTACTTCACATAGAAGTCCTCTAGAAGAGGACTTTTTATTTATAAACTTTATTCTAAAACCCAAAAAATAATCCATATTTTCCTGAGAATCACAATGCATGATGGAGGCCGTGGCTGTCCCTCGTGAATCACTTAGCATTTTCTCTCTCATGGGTAGTGGACCTGAGATGGTTTTGACACCTTTTACATTCACAGTATGTATCTAGAAGTTAGCAGTACAGAGGAAAATGGAGCCTGGTGCTGCACTGTTCCAGGTTGGGCTCTCTTCTGGGTCTGTGGGGGCAGAGGATTGTAGAGTCAAGAGCAAGTCACACCCAGCATGAGCCCAGCTCTCGGGTGAGGCCGGGCCCAGGGTCTCTTTAGGCCTCTCTGTCGAAAGCCTTGAGAACAGTACATTGTAACATGGACTAGACCTCCTCTCATTTGTGACTGGGGAGAAGAAAGGTAGTGTCTTGTTCCCATACTGAAACTGTATTCCTCAGGGGCAGGATTTGAAAAACAAACCCAGTAAAAAGTATCTTTATTCTCATGTTTAAAAAAGTTTTTCTATGAGGATGCATTAATTAACAATACAAAAATATTTTGAACACTACAATGATCCTTTCTCAAGACTTCTTGCAATGCTACACTAAAATATGTGATCTTTGGATTCTGAGAGGAAACCAGTGGCTAAAATAGGGAAAGGCTTTTTCTTGAGGGGTGTGAATACATGGGCAGCCCTTTTTCTTTGGATTCAGGTTATGTACAGTTAGGAGGAAGCAAAAAAAACCAAAGTTAAATTAAAAAGACTTGTTTTTCAAGGCTCAGGGCTGAAGCTTGGCTCAAAAATGGCTTAAAAGTAGGCTATGTTAACAACCTTTTGTCCACCACCAGAGGTTTTTCTGGGCCTCTCGCTTTAGTTGTAATGGTCTTCCTTCCTGCAGCCTCACAGGGAAACTGAAGCTGGCCTGGTTCAAATGCTAGAAACACCTGCTGTTGTGAGGTTTGGGGTTTGCCCTCGCACTGCTGCCCCAGAGCTGGCTAGACTGATGTGGATGAGCTGGAAATGGACTGTGGGAAAGGCTCTCTACATGGGGAGAGATACACACCATATCTGGGTCATGCCTTAACTCCAGCTGTTGACTGCAGCTGCTAGTGACAGGTCTGGAGCCTTGGTATCAGGGCTCCTTTCACCTGGTGAGTCTCTGAGGAAACAGTACCAAGTACTGTGAACTGCAGCCAGATTATCCCCCACACACACTTATGTGGGATAGTGTCATGTTGTTTCTGTTGCCTAGCCTGATAAGCCTAAACTCATCTATTCCATTCTCTCCTCTTTTATAAGCTGCTAAAACATGGTAAGACGATTCCTCTGGTCCAGCTTACGAGTAGCTGTTGGTTTTCTGTAAACAGAGCTTCTCCAGTCCCTTGAGAGAGAAGCATTGTCATCCTGAGCTTTGTGGTTGTGACCATGCTCACATATTTGATAAACCAGTTCATTCTTGGTCCATGAAGTGTCTGGTATGGGGAGGGCGGGGTGGAGAAGGTAGCTGGGCTCCGTCCAGGCCCTCTGACCTACAGCAGAAAAGCAAGGGAGGCAGGGGCATCTGCTAGTAAGACAGATGGTGCAAACACGGACGCAGGCCGCATAGGCACGGGGGTGCCCACGATGACGCATCACCACAGGTCTGACTTCCTCCACTCGGAGCACTGTGACTCGGTGGGCTCAGGTTCAGGCAGGTGTACGGCCTCTGAAATCTTCAGTGCCTGGACCCTGAAAGGGAGTTAGCAGGGCCCCTGGCCCGGTTTCCACGTGGCTTGGGCCTCTGGTGCTTCCTTGGGGCTGGGCCCTGGGAGCTGGCCAGGTGTCCTGGGCATGCTAGGCCGCCTGTCTCTGGGATTCCTG